AGCCTACAAAATCAAGTATGCTGACGGCGTAAACACTCAACCAAGATATTTTTACGTACAAATATGCAATTATGCATCTACATATGAGAAGGTGTTAAATTACTAAGTTTATACACGTCAAATTATTTTTACATACTTCAAGAAACGTTTTTCTTGAGGGGCATTCAAAATACCTGATTACCGGAGGCATTCAAAAACATTCCTTGGCAGCATTAATTTAAAAAACTTCCTCTTGGGCAACCTTGTTTTTAATTTTTAATTCAGTAATAAGAATATGTTTATATTGCATCAAAACATGAAAATAAAATTGAATTACAATATTTTATGTGAGAAAATATTGCTCTCGCTACATCTGAGGCATGTTAAATGCAGGAAAAAAAACCATAAAAATGTAACAATATTATTATAATTCCATTAGCAATATTGAGTTAACAGATTTATAAATACATTCTTTTACCCATAAAAAAAAAATTTAAAATTGAATTACTGGATTTTTTGATAGATACTACTACTGAAACAATTGATACACATTAGATGTATCTAATAATACATAAAAAAATACAATCGGTATCATCACATTTAAAGAAAACCTTATGCTATAATCAAACACATTGCAAGTTCTAAAATCCTTTCAAGAAAATTGAAAAAATAGAATCATTCTCATCTTTTCTTAATAAAACACAACAAAAAATGCAACAGTAACATGATATTACTAGATTGGGTGATACTAATAAAAATAAACCAAACATATGATTTTAAAATGAAAAAAATTAAATTTTACTCGAATTTCGAGGCCGATCACCAAATCGACATGTGTGGTGCGAACTGGTGTCTCCAATTCTCACCAAAGCTTCCTCAAGCACCCCAAATCGAAACCACCAAGCCAATTTTGGGTTTCGAGTATAGTTTAAGAGATCTGAATCCAAATCTCAATTCTCTCAAATCATAGATTTTAATTTTTATTTTATTTTTAAAATCAAGCATCAGGTTGGATCAATAACGCAAAATTAGGCTTAGGGATTGAATTTCATCCAACATTGACCATAAGAAATCAGGTTGCTAAGCATCAGGTTGCTAAGAAATCACAAATTTGTAAATTGCGCAAAAACAGGGCCCAATTTTTAGATAAAAAACTTATTGAATCTTATTGTTTTTCTCAAATCTATTGTTTAGTAGATAGGTCTAGCTAAAATCTAACTAACATTTCAAATTCGGCTCAAATCAGTAAGGTTTAGGGCTCCAAATTGAAACAATAGTAAGAGGGGGGCAAATTTCCTCATATTGATACATATATAGAACTCAGGTGAGTACTGTATAGACCCAAATACTGTGAAACTTGGGCTGACTTCTAGACTCGCCTGAGTACTGTGAACTCAGATAAGACAACCCGAGGGCTGGTCTGTGTAGTAGTTACTCGAGTATTGCGCAGGGTGGTATCCTTAGGTGCCCAATTCTGGGCTCAACGTGCTGCTGAATCCAAGTAACTCTCGTTTGTCGGAGTTGACATGGATGAGTTTTGGAAGACTGGTTTGCAATCTAGGTCGCTCGCTCTGGTGGACACCATAGGTTGTGTATAGGCTTAGTCCCTGGATGCATCACCTAGGAGTGCTTACATGTTGCCATTGGATTTAGCTAGAAGGGAACCAATGCCCCTATAAGGACAAGGGTTGGAAAGCTTCAACACATCATTCTTCACAACACGTGCTGCTAGCTGTGTTTCTTTTTGGATTAGTGATATTAGCATGAATTTGCTGAGAGAGGACTCCTAGTGTGTATCCATGCACAATGTCTAGGATGGACATACTTGTCCTTGGGGAGACACCTGTAATATGTGGCAATATTGTAGTTCTTTTATGCCTTAGATAACTGATAGACCAATCGTGAGCCCTTTTACTACAGACGTCAAGGTTTGGAAGACTGGTTTGCAATCTAGGTCTTGGCTCGGACTAGTGGAATCCCCACCCTTTGATATAAGCTTGGTTCCTGGTGCATCACCTAGGAGTGCGTACAGGTTACAGTTGGATTTAGCTAAACGGAACCAAGGCCTTGTTGGGGGAAAGATAGACGCGTGGGAGGACAATTTTTGGAAAGCTTCGACAATTGTTCTTGACAACATGCGGGCTGCTTGCTGCATTTCGTTTTGGATGAGTGATATGAGCAAGCATTTGCTGAGAGAGGACTCCTCGCACTATAGGATATTGTGTCTCTAGACAGTGCCTGGGATGGACATGCGTGTCCCTGGGGAGACACTTGTAATCTATGGCAATGTTGTTGCCCTTACATACCTTAATTTACTTTTATTGGCCAATCATAAGCCGCTGCAATGGAGACATGTAGGTGATGGGTATGTCGGATTAGTTTGGAGTTTATAGTGTGATTCTAGGGTCTGCTATGGAGTGCCTAGTGATGTGTTTATCCCATAGCATGCACACTCTTTCAATGGAACTTCCCATAGTTTTTAAAGAGGTAATCACCTTGAATTTGTTTAGTTGAACAAGAGTATTCATGGAAATAATGTTTCGTTCTAAGCCAGGGAGAATTTTGCATAAAATTATTTTTTAGAAGTCAATTTAGGGGGGAATTTAGGAGCTCACGACAATTGGACCATGTTTGTGGACCACTTGTGGCCATGTGAAAGGGTAAGATAAGCCACATGGACTCCAATGACCATGATGTCCACATCGCCCATGATCCTATTCCGAATTGGACTAGGACGCATGGACAATTTTGCCTATGGTGGTGCGTGCCCTTTAAATTGGACTTCTAGATGATTTTTGATACTAAGATTTCCTGTGATGAAGGGGAAGCCCTCTTCTTAGACATCGAAATCGAAAGCAAGAGGGGAGCTCTTCTGGTCCCGAACCCACAACTGGCACACAAAAAACTCTATGACCAGTTCAAAAATCAAACCAATTAGGATTTCCTCCTTAAAGAATATGGAAAGTTAAGTTAATATATAATTGTAGATCTAAGGGAATCCTAGTAGGATTGAAAGAGTGAGGGGATAAACTTTACTAGGGATAAAAGTGATCTTTGGATCTAGATTCATGATGGCTGAGCAGGGTGAATGACTGCATTTTAGCCACTAACCCATTGATTTCCCAGTTTTATTTGAAGGAAGCTTGCCTTACTCCCATATTACCTCCAGAACCTCTGTAAATAGGGCACCCCACACCTATTTCTCCATAGAAAATCACATGGTGGTCCAATCCCTTTTAGAAGCACTTGGCAGGCTAAAAGAGAGATGAGACAGAGGTGCATGGGGTTTGCCTAGGCATTGGGGGATAGAAGGTGAGTTAAAAGGCCTTGTCTGTGGGGGTTAGATAGCGACCTAGAGAAACTCCCATGGTATCTTGAGATGATAGATCTGAGACAGTGTAAGGATCTGAAACCTGCATCTCCTACCCTGTGATTCTCAGTCCAAAACAGAGGCTAGAAAGAGGGCATTGCCTTTGGGGTGGTAGGCCTTGATCTCAGAGAAAATCTTCTGGAGTGTACAAAGTCCAAGGGGGTAACTCTAGGCAATTTTTAGGTTAGTGATTCTTGCTGATCTTTTTCATTCTTTGAGCATGGTTTTGTGAATGTGGCAGCAAACCTTTATTGGGCTATGCACTTTTTCCTCTTTTGTTTTGTATTGAATTGTGGGAAAAAGGCAGGAGCAACACCTGACATGCCACTATCATAGTTGATTACACTATGTCATTGTTTAACATATTTCTTTTATCAATTGGTGATAACATAAATATGTAATGAATCTGGACTGAGTTTTGGTTTTCAACTCTGTCAAAGATATTAACCATTATTAGGGATTGACATTAATCTGTTGACTGCCATATTATTTCATTGTTGGATGAATCAAATGAAATTCAGAATTATATCATACAATATATCTGTATTAAGGAAGTGTCTTTTCCAAAATTTGGATATGAAACATGGCTGAAATTCAGCTAATATACCCATTGTTTCAAAAACGGTCCGCCTAACGCCTAGGCGATTTCAGTCAAGATACTCATTACTTCAAAAGACAGTCCGCTAGGCGCCCGGAGGACCTCAGGTTGCACGCCTAGGGGTAAGTCGCCCTCCCTGGGTGCCTGCCCAGGTGGCCCAGGCAAGAGCACTGCTGAGTGCCCAGGTACTGGGCCCTTCTTTTGAGACCCCTAAGGGCACTTTGGGTCAGTTTTGACCCATGCTTTTTTCATTAAAGGCTATTGGGAGTATTCTAAACCCCCAAAGTGAAAAAATTTGGAATCTATATCCCCCAAATCCATTGATTTTGGGATTAAAAAAAAAAAAGAAAACTGAGATTTCAAGAAACATCCATAAGCTTACTCTTCATTGTTGGGATTTCATCCATAAGCTTATACTTGTCTTTTGCATTTCATCTTGTCTAGATGGTGTTCATGTGTTAGTATGGAGTATGCCATACTCTTTTTGGATTGGATAGTTGGAGGTTAATACACCATGGATTTGTTCATGTTTTTAATTTTTTCCCCTAAATTTTCAATTGAAGATTTGAATGTGTTTTAACATTCATGCATATATATTTGCAAGGAAAAAGTTAGTTAGAATACATGTAAATAAAAAAAAAAAAAAATACAAAACTAACGGGACATATTTGCAAATTTTCACCTTAGGGCACTTGAGGTTTTGGGCACCTGCCTAGCGTTTTTTTAAACACTGAATATACCAAAAGTTGGACCTTTCTCCTTTTTAATTAAAAAAAAAATTATAGGAAAATTCCAGCCAAATGTTATTCAAGAACTGGTGAACATTTAAAAGAAAAGGAAAGTCTGAATCTTTTACAGTATGTGTCCTGACTGAAATTGTTCGTGGAGCAATACAAGAAAAAAAGAAAAGAAACCCTTCTCTGATCTTGCCTTTTTCATTCTTAGCAGTAAATGAATATAATTATAGCAGAACACAAGAACAAAAAAACTGGTTATTCTTTAAGAGTAATGATTCCATTAATTTTTCGGGCTGATTATTTTTTAACTCAACAGGAAGCTGGCTATCCATGCTGCCCAACAGAAGCAAGAGAAAGAAGAGGAAGAGGAGAAGTTAATGTTGCAGAAGGCCCAAGAATTAGACGCTTTTGATCAGCAAAACCACGGTGCAGTTCCACAATACAATGATCGAAGCCATGTGCGAGATAAGCACAGTTTCCAGGGAGCAAACAGTGTGAAAGTAACATCTTATGAAGAGGAAGCACTTCGAACCATGAAAGCATTTTGGCTTCCTTCCGCTACGCCTGAAGCCGCCGTCAAAGTTGAGGCTCCCTCCACTGATACCATCTGTCCTGAAGGGAAAGAGAAACTCAGGCTTAAGTCCCTTTTCCCAGTGTACTTCACAGAAGAGAGTGATGACAGGAAATCTGGTTCTTTAAACAGCAGTTATATGTGTCCTAGCTGCAAAGTTACTCTTACAAACACCCTAACACTTGTGGCTGTGAGCACTTGTGGACATGTATATTGTAAGAAGTGTTCAGATAGGTTTTTGGTTGCTGATAAGGTGTGTTTGGTGTGTGATAAGGGGTGTAAGGAGAAGGGTTTAGTGTGCCTAGAGAAGGGAGGGACAGGGTTCTCGGGTCATGGTAATCATTTGGAGGCAACGGATTTCAAGCACCTTGGAAGCGGGAGTGGTCTGGGGCTTGTGCGACCTGCAGCAACAACATAAAGGCATTGACTGGTTAGTTGTCTTAGGAGTTCTATGCTTTCCTTGATAAAGTATGTAGAATATTTTTCTGGAGAAATGTTATAGACTGATGTTCTGCTCTGTGCTATTTTTGCCTCCATTTCGTTTTGTGTGCCGTAAGTGCCAATCCCTCTCTCTCTGTCACTCTCTCCACCTGCCAGTCCACCACGGCCCGCCCCCCCCCCCCCCAACCCCCACCCCCACCCCCAACCCCACCCCCCACCCCCACCCCCACCACCACTACCACACCTGCAAACAAAGACAAAAGAAAAAAAGATAACACAACAATCCGTACACTGCTGCCTTTTTCTGTATGCAATTTATTAAACTATTTCTATTTCTTTCTCTCAATGGGGTTTTCTGGACCCTCCATTTACCAACAGTTCCATTGTCAATTTCCTTGGAATTTGGTCATGAGTTTGAATAAGCCAGACTATGCTAGCAGATTGCTGTATTTGAAAGAAACTTGAAGACACAGTTCTGATGTTTCTTTATCAACTATGATTCTTTGTTGTTGTAACTTGCATGTCTAATGCATATAGTGACGATTTTATTCATGTATGTTATTTGGTTTGATAAAAAAATTTATTTGGTTTGATAAAAAAAAGAGAAACTAGTATTCCATACATTGCTGGATTTGTTTGGGAGAGAAAAGTTGATTAAAAGCTGGCGTAACAGATAAGAAGATAATGTTTCGGAGATCGTGACGAATGTAGGAGTGCTTTCTCTTAGATGGATCCTTCACTGATTCTTTGTCCTTTTTCCTTAGGTCTCTTGTCAATAGTCACTTGACGGTTTTCTTGCCAAAATTTTCTCCTGATAACATGACATTTGGGTTTTCTACAGCCATTCTCTGTCAAAGTTTACTGTTTAACTTCATCTATGTATCAGAACGTGATGCTTAGTTGGTATATGCTTTTGCGTTTGGTTATTGATTCCCTGAAAATTGATTGAGGGAAAAATTATTCTTATTTTTAATTTTTATTTAATTTCAAAGGATGTATATTATATTTTTAGTTTTAGGGTTTATTTCTACGGTTTTTTTAGTTTTCTAGAGATTCTGGGGTTTTTATATTTTTTATTTATTAGAGTACTAATCACGAGTACTGTTCATGGACATTGTTCATGGGGGTAAAACTATCATTATAAATTTTAAGTTTAAGTTAGGATATATAGGTCAATATATTATTTGTTTAGACACTTTTTGTACTTGGAACATAAAATAATATTATAAAGAGCTGCATGGGGGGCTTAGGAGAAGGTAATCACATGATTTTCCAGAATTGAGAAAAAAGAAAAGCTCAAGTTTGTGCAACCTGTGCTTGGGTGTGGAGAAGAAACCCTATGTTTATTTGAATTGTGCTTGTGTTTAGCTTTGTTTCTTACTTCTTTCTCAAGTTCTCTACATCAGCTCAACATATAGACTGTCCTGTAACGGTGTACATACTGTGGCATTGGACAGATGGTATTGTAGCATCGATTTTGGTGCCATAGATCAACAACGAAGCTGGGAAGTTACAACTGGGTCTAGGATTTGTTGATTTTGGCCTAAGGTTTACCAAATCAGCCTAGATATTGCTGATATCAATAGATTTGTGTTGATACTTTGCGTAGAGCTTCTGAATTCAATGCACTCATGACGGCGAGAAAGTGTTGTGGGAGGGGGGTTTTCATAGACCCACTCTGTGATCCCAAAAATGAAAAAGTTGAGGAACTTGACAGGAAAGTTCAGCAATTGATGCTGCAGTTTATGAGTCTCAATAATGGGCAAGACGGTGATCTTTCAACCCAAGAGGATCTCGTGCACAAGCTTTTTACTTTCGCGTTCCGCTTGGGGAGTTGAGTGATGAGGATAGTGACAGAGACCTAGATGTGGGGAACATCACGTTAGGATTTTTGATTTGAAGGATGACATTTTTTATTTTACATAAGTTGTATAAAAAATGAGCAACTTGTTGATTGGGGTTCACCATCAATCTTCAAATACTTACTCCAATGAACAACAAGATCGTTTAGGGGATCCTATCTATGATAAGGATTAAAATGATGATAAAGAGATTTTGCAAGAGGGTGAAGAATATGGAGAGAAGGTAGTAGGAGGAATGATCTAAATCATAGCCTTTGAAGATCTCATTAATATCGAAGATGTAGAGTATTTAAAAAATTTAGGGTATTGAAATTAGATAGCGCAAATGAAATATGGTCAACTCATAAAACTGAAACTTTGGTCCTGATTTCAGAAAGTAATAAAATAGATGTCGAGAAAATCTCCTATACAATTTTCAATGGGAGCTCCAGGATAGTTGTATTTGATAAATTTGCATTGATTCCTCAATATACATATCAAGATCCATTTTTTAAGGAATTTTTTTTACCACGAATAATATTTGTGCCGACAAAGAAAAAGAAGGTTGAATAAGGTGGTTTTGATGTCGAATTCATCTAGCATACTTCAAAACTCGAAGATGAGTTTTTTCCGACCAGGGGAGAATGATGTAGGGAAAAATTGTTCTTATTTTTTGTTTCTATTCAATTTCAAATGATGTACATTAAAGTCTTAGTTTCAGGGTTGATTTCTTTGATTTTTATTTTTTAAGGGATTTTAGCGTTCTTATATTTTTGTTACTTCATGAGTACTATTCACAAGTATTGTTCACGAAAACTATTCACAGATACAGTTCACGGGTTAAAACTGTCATTCCATATTTTAAGTTTAATTTAGGATATATGGGGTCAATTTATTATTTGTTTGGACACTCTTTATACTTGAACATTAAATAATATTATAAAGAGGTGCCTGGAGGCCCTAAGAGAAGGCAATCACATGATTTTCCAGAATTGGGAAAAAGGAAAAGCTCAAGCTTTTGCAATCCTAGCTTGGGTGTGGCTAAGAAACCCTAGGTTTCTTTGAATTGTGTTTTTGTTTGGCTTTGTTCCTTGCTGATTTTACCGTTTTCTCCAAATTTTCTACATAAAATATTCTCATGTTGCCTTAGCATTTGTAGATTTTGTATATGTTACCTTTATTTTTCTTGTTTTTATTCTTAATTGTTGATATTTTTTATGTTTGTTTCTTAATCATGTTATTTTGTATGTCATTTTCATTTATTTCTCTTTTATCTCAGTTAATGCTAGCTTCCTTTACTAAATACCATGCTTTTTCATTTCCCATTATTATCACCAATGTTTGCAAAGTTGGCCGATCCAATTCGGAACTGGCTAGTTAAACTGGAACCGGGCATTGGGACTGGCCGATTCGGTTTTGCTCGATTTAGGTAGTCCAATCGAGTATTTTAAAATAAACATTATATATATATATATATATATGAAGATACTACAAAATGCCTATAGGCGAAAATGAACCCTGATTTCGCCACCCTCATCACCAATCAAACTTCATCACACGGTCATAGTTGTCCAGTAGTGTTTCAATTTTCATTTTTTTTTTAATAATCAGAATGATCTGAAATTTAGAGCGTGCGTACATCTTAGTGAGGCGTACCTAATAAAAATATGAAAAAAGTAATTGGTAAAATATAAATTGACCAAAATACCCCCATAAATTTTTGGTGGTAATTTGGTCAATTTATATTTTACGAAATAGTTTTTGGATATTTTTATTAGGTGCACCTCACTAAGATTTCCACACGCTCCAAATTTCAAGTAATTTGGATTTGTAGAAAAAAAAAATAAAAATTGAAATACTATCAGGCAACTATGACCGTACGATGAAGTTTGGATGGTGATGAGGGTAGGCGAAATCACTGTTCATTTTCGCCTATAGGCGTTGGGAAGAGTTTTCCATATATATATATATATATATATATATATATATATATATATATACAACTAAATAATATGTTAGTTTAGTTTAATTTTATTTACTTTATTCGTTAGTAGTAGTAAGTAGTTA